ATGTATAATGGAAATGCATTGCTAATGATTTTACTATAGGAATGCATTGAAAATCAGGAAAAAAAGGATTGTCTGTGGTCAGGAATGAATGCAAGCATTACTGATAGAATAGGGCTAATTTATGTATAATGGAAATGCATTGCTAATGATTTTACTATAGGAATGCATTGAAAATCAGGAAAAAAGGGGGTTGTCAGTGGTCAGGAATGAAGGCAAGCATTACTGATAGAATAGGGCTATTATATGTATAATGGAAATGCATTGCTAATGATTTTTTACTATAGGAATGCATTGAAAATCAGGAAAAAAGGGATTGTCTGTGGTCAGGAATGAATGCAAGCATTACTGATAGAATAGGGCTATTATATGTATAATGGAAATGCATTGCTAATGATTTTACTATAGGAATGCATTGAAAATCAGGAAGAAAACAAGGATTGTCTGTGGTCAGGAATGAATGCAAGCATTACTGATAGAATAGGCTAATTATATGTATAATGGAAATGCATTGCTAATGATTTTACTATAGGAATGCATTGAAAATCAGGAAGAAAGGGATTGTCAGTGGTCAGGAATGAATGAAAGCATTACTGATAGAATAGGGCTATTTTATGTATAATGGAAATGCATTGCTAATGATTTTACTATAGGAATGCATTGAAAATCAGGAAGAAAGGGATTGTCAGTGGTCAGGAATGAATGAAAGCATTACTGATAGAATAGGGCTATTATATGTATAATGGAAATGCATTGCTAATGATTTTACTATAGGAATGCATTGAAAATCAGGAAAAAAGGGATTGTCAGTGGTCAGGAATGAAGGCAAGCATTACTGATAGAATAGGTTTTTTTATGTATAATGGAAATGCATTGCTAATGATTTTACCATAGGAATGCATTGAAAATCAGGAAAAAAGGGATTGTCTGTGGTCAGGAATGAATGCAAGCATTACTGATAGAATAGGGCTATTATATGTATAATGGAAATGCATTGCTAATGATTTTACTATAGGAATGCATTGAAAATCAGGAAGAAAGGGATTGTCAGTGGTCAGGAATGAAGGCAAGCATTACTAATAGAATAGGACTTTTTCTGTACAATGGAAATGCATTGCTAATGATTTTACTATAGGAATGCATTGAAAATCAGGAAGAAAGGGATTGTCTGTGGTCAGGAATAAATGCAAGCATTACTGATAGAATAGGGCTATATTATGTACAATGGAAATGCATTGCTAATGATTTTACTATAGGAATGCATTGAAAATCAGGAAGAAAGGGATTGTCTGTGGTCAGGAATGAATGCAAGCATTACTGATAGAATAGGGCTATTATATGTATAATGGAAATGCATTGCTAATGATTTTACTATAGGAATGCATTGAAAATCAGGAACAAAGGGATTGTCAGTGGTCTGGAATGAAGGCAAGCTTTACTGATAGAATAGGGCTAATTTATGTATAATGGAAATGGATTGCTAATGATTTTACTATAGGAATGCATTGAAAATCAGGAAGAAAGGGATTGTCAGTGGTCAGGAATGAAGGCAAGCATTACTAATAGAATAGGGCTTTTTTTGTACAATGGAAATGCATTGCTAATGATTTTACTATAGGAATGCATTGAAAATCAGGAAGAAAGGGATTGTCTCTGGTCAGGAATAAATGTAAGCATTACTGATAGAATAGGGCTATTATATGTATAATGGAAATGCATTGCTAATGATTTTACTATAGGAATGCATTCAAAATCAGGAAAAAAGGGATTGTCAGTGGTCAGGAATGAAGGCAAAGCATTACTAATAGAATAGGGCTTTTTTGTATAATGGAAATGCATTGCTAATGATTTTACTATAGGAATGCATTGAAAATCAGGGAAGAAAGGGATTGTCAGTGGTCAGGAATGAAGGCAAGCCTTACTAATAGAATAGGACTTTTTTTACAATGGAAATGTACAATGGAAATGCATTGCTAATGATTTTACTATAGGAATGCATTGAAAATCAGGAAGAAAGGGATTTTCTGTGGTCTGGAATGAAATGCAAGCATTACTGATAGAATAGGGCTATTATATGTATAATGGAAATGCATTGCTAATGATTTTACTATAGGAATGCATTGAAAATCAGGAAGAAAGGGATTGTCAGTGGTCAGGAATGAAGGCAAGCATTACTAATAGAATAGGGCTTTTTTTGTACAATGGAAATGCATTGCTAATGATTTTACTATAGGAATGCATTGAAAATCAGGAAGAAAGGGATTGTCAGTGGTCAGGAATGAAGGCAAGCATTACTAATAGAATAGGGCTTTTTTTGTACAATGGAAATGCATTGCTAATGATTTTACTATAGGAATGCATTGAAAATCAGGAAGAAAGGGATTGTCTGTGGTCAGGAATGAATGCAAGCATTACTGATAGAATAGGGATATAATTTATGTATAATGGAAATGGATTGCTAATGATTTTACTATAGGAATGCATTGAAAATCAGGAAAAAGGGATTGTCAGTGGTCTGTAATGAAGGCACACTTTACTGATAGAATAGGGCTAATTTATGTATAATGGAAATGGATTGCTAATGATTTTACTATAGGAATGCATTGAAAATCAGGAAAAAAGGGATTGTCAGTGGTCAGGAATGAATGCAAGCATTACTGATAGAATAGGGCTATTATATGTATAATGGAAATGCATTGCTAATGATTTTACTATAGGAATGCATTGAAAATCAGGAAGAAAGGGATTGTCTGTGGTCAGGAATGAATGCAAAAGCATTACTGATAGAATAGGGCTATTTTATGTATAATGGAAATGCATTGCTAATGATTTTACTATAGGAATGCCTTGAAAATCAGGAAGAAAGGGATTGTCAGTGGTCAGGAATGAAGGCAAGCATTACTAATAGAAAAGGTTTTTTTTGTACAATGGAAATGCATTGCTAATGATTTTACTATAGGAATGCATTGAAAATCAGGAACAAAGGGATTGTCTGTGGTCAGGAATGAATGCAAGCTTTACTGATAGAATAGGGCTAATTTATGTATAATGGAAATGGATTGCTAATGATTTTACTATAGGAATGCATTGAAAATCAGGAAGAAAGGGATTGTCAGTGGTCAGGAATGAAAGCAAAGCATTACTAATAGAAAGGGCTTTTTTTGTACAATGGAAATGCATTGCTAATGATTTTACTATAGGAATTCATTGAAAATCAGGAACAAAGGGATTGTCTGTGGTCAGGAATGAATGCAAGCATTACTGATAGAATAGGGCTAATTTATGTATAATGGAAATGGATTGCTAATGATTTTACTATAGGAATGCATTGAAAATCAGGAAAAAAGGGATTGTCAGTGGTCAGGAATGAAGGCAAGCATTACTAATAGAATAGGGCTTTTTTTGTACAATGGAAATGCATTGCTAATGATTTTACTATAGGAATGCATTGAAAATCAGGAAGAAAGGGATTGTCTGTGGTCAGGAATGAATGCAAGCATTACTGATAGAATAGGGCTATTATATGTATAATGGAAATGCATTGCTAATGATTTTACTATAGGAATGCATTGAAAATCAGGAAGAAAGGGATTGTCAATGGTCAGGAATGAAAGCAAGCATTACTAATAGAATAGGGCTTTTTTTTTGTATAATGGAAATGGATTGCTAATGATTTTACTATAGGAATGCATTGAAAATCAGGAAAAAAGGGATTGTCAGTGGTCAGGAATGAAGGCAAGCATTACTAATAGAATAGGGCTTTTTATGTATAATGGAAATGCATTGCTAATGATTTTACTATAGGAATGCATTAAAATCAGGAACAAAGGGATTGTCTGTGGTCAGGAATGAATGCAAGCATTACTGATAGAATAGGGCTATTATATGTATAATGGAAATGCATTGCTAATGATTTTACTATATGAATGCATTGAAAATCAGGAACAAAGGTATTGTCAGTGGTCTGGAATGAAGGCAAGCTTTACTGATAGAATAGGGCTATTATATGTATAATGGAAATGCATTGCTAATGATTTGCTATAGGAATTCATTGAAAATCAGGAAGAAAGGGATTGTCAGTGGTCAGGAATGAAGGCAAGCATTACTGATAGAATAGGGCTATTATATGTATAATGGAAATGCATTGCTAATTATTTTACTATAGGAATGCTTTGAAAATCAATAAGAACGGGATTGTCAGTGGTCACGAATAAAAGCTGGCATTACTGATAGAATGGAGATATTAAATACATAATTTAAATGCATTGCTAATGATTTTAGTATAGGAATGCATATAATATCTTGAAGAAAGGGATTGTCTCTGTTCAGGAATATTGAAGGTTTGTATTGAAAATGACTAAAACGGGATTGTCGTTGATGATTTTTGGCGAAACATTCTGACAGAATCAAGTTAATTCTCAAATCTAAACACACACACACACACACACACACACACACACACACATATATATATATATATATATATACATGTACACACATATATATATATGTGTGTGAGTATGTGTGTGTGTGTTTATGCAGGTATGTATGAAACACCTGTGAGCAATTTATTATTATACAAGTGAAATATAAGATACCTTACGGGTTTCTTTCGTGGAATATAACATTAAAAATAATCAAATTGTTTATTACGTATTTTCGAGAGCTGTATATGAATTAGATTGCTTCTCTCGGATTTCTTTTCTTTACATTTAAGAGTAAATAAATATTCTTTTGCCCGGGGTCGGGGAAATAATTTGTTTTTTTTGTTTGCTATTTTTTTTTTTTTTTTACTAATTTTGGAATCAAGTTTTGTAGAGACCCCCTTCCCCTGCAGAATGATAATATGTAAGCCCACGTCAACAAATATATTTTTGAATATTTACAAAAATTTGTAACGTCGACAAAATGTCAGTTTGATTTCTTGAATTTTCAGTCTCTCATCGATTATCCTCATCTTTGTTATTTTGATACGTATCTTTCATCCGTTAATCTCTGTGAAGATGCGTTTGCGGGGAAGCAGACCTTTCTCAGACGCAGGGGGAGAGATGGGCGATATAAGGAGTTGAAAATGTCTGGAAGGTCACGGGCCATTTTCGAATTATGATCGCCCAAGGGCATTGGAAAAGTAATGTGGATGCAACCAACCGGACACGAATTTGAACTTGAGCCGTGATCAATTGCATCAACCACACATTCATCCTTATTCAGATCGACGTAGCATAAGTTCGTTCATCGGACGGCAATCTATCTATCTATCTATCTATCTATCTATCTATCTATCTATCTATATATATATATATATATATATCTGTTGTGGTAGGATCACCTAATTCACATAGTGGAGTACCGACCATATAAATATGGTTGGTACCGGGAAGACGAGGGAAGGAATCAAGAGATTCAATCCAGAGACTCTGCCCGACTGCGACTCAGTCAACACATTCTCCAGGAACGGTGTTCCCAAGAATATACAAAAGACTATATGTGAATATTGTGTACACTTTCTTGTTTCAATACATTTTGTTCTAAGTACATTTTGTGTTGTATTATTATTCCATGCATTAGTCAAGTTTCAACACTATCTCAGTCTTGTCATCTATCTATCTATCTATCTATCTATCTATCTATCTATCTATCTATCTATCTATCTATCTATCTATCTATGTCATGCTGTTTTTGTATCTATCTATCTATCTATCTATCTATCTATCTATCTATCTATCTATCTATCTCTAGTTTTGTCATCTATCTATATATCTATGTCATATATGTCATCTCTATCTATCTATCTATCTATCTATCTATCTATCTATCTCAGTTTTGTCATCTATCTATCTATCTATGTCATGCTGTTCATATCTATCTATCTATCTATCTATCTATCTATCTATCTATCTATCTATATATATATATATATATATATATGTATCTCAGTATTTTCATCTATCTATGTATCTATCTCAGTTTATAAGTATGTTAAAATGAGGAGTTACTTTTTAATTACCCTATCTATCTATCTATCTATCTATCTATCTATCTATCTGTATATATATATCTCAGTTTATCTCATACTGTTCATATCTATCTATCTATCTATCTATCTATCTATCTATCTCAGTTTATCTATCTCATACTGTTCATATCTATCTATCTATCTATCTATCTATCTATCTATCTATCTATCTATCTATCTCATCCTGTTCATATCTTTCTATCTATATTAATCTATATCTACAAAACTAAAGATGTACGCCTGTCTGTGTGTGTGCGCGCGCTATTTATGCACGTCCACATTTCTGGACCGATTTCGATGAAATTGTACATTACATATTGAAAATTTACCAAGGTAGCTCAAGAACAATTTTTCACTTTCCAGTCCCACCCCCGCCAGATTTGGCAAAAAAAAAAAAATCGATCAAGCTGAAGGTGGGTACGAATTTTTGCAAATATCAAGCCGAAGTTACACGCGAACAATTCTTTTTTTACTGGATGAGCTGATGTTCTTTGCCCTTAATGCAAAACATCAGCTCAGGTGACGAGGTTTATGTAAAGTGCTTGATAGTTTTCCCGCGACATTGGCTTCACAAAAAAAACAAAAAAAAAAACAAAAAAAAAAAAAACGCAAAACACTATGAAAAAATCGGGTTTTTCCTACTGCTCTAAATAATAATTTTAATAACTTCTCCATTGTTTATCCGATTTTCTTTAAACATGTCGCAAAAAAAATTTGTCATCATGCAAAAAAAAATTGTCATCATGCAAAAAAAATAAGATGGTTTGAGTCCTGCTCGCTTCTCCCGCATATAACAAAAAACTACAAAAATTCTTCAAAATGCCAATTTTTCGGTCATAACTCCCTGGTTTTTCATCTGATGCTTTCCAGATTTTCTACTTAAATTACATATGATAAAGAAATTGTCTTGGGTGAAGGTTTAGTTTAGATTATTTCAATTGAATGGACGAAATCTGCGACAAACTAGGTCCCAGATCCCTTTTGCCATTTAGCCAATAGTTTCTTCATATAATTCCATCCTAAATTGGTATTCAAACAAATTTTGATGCGAAGATTGTTTGAGAAGGATTATTAACGTGTTAAAACATCTTTATAGCTTTCCAGTAAACGTGCGAAGTTGCAGTTGATCCCTGTTTTTGTTTGATTATTAGATTTCTAAACAATGCCATGCTATTTGAATGTTATAGCGACAATAGGAAATTTACTGAATATCTAAAACATTGAAACAAATTAACCACAAGCAACGACCTGTTAAGAAGATTTTATCGATGGAATTCCTTTATTATGAACAATCAAAGTCTTGTGAAGGACATAGCGTAAAAAAGATGAGGTATCTAAGTATACCAACGGATGATGCATGACAGTGGGGACGCAGGCAGAGATTCTCTAGACAGTGGGTGCGGGTATAAAGTGGGTGTGGTTATACAATTGCAGCAATGTATATCCGGTCAGGTCGGGTACCTCTTATATATATATATATATATATATAGGGAGATTTTCCTTAGTAACGGCTATCCGGAGGCCCTTATTGACTATATTATTAGTAAGAAAACTAAGGAATTTCATTCCCCAAAAATCCAGGGGCCTTCTAAATGTCCGGTTTATTTGAAGATTCCCTGGATTGGGGATAGTGGTCAGGACCTTAATTAAACAGGTTAGCAAGTTGGTTTCCGGTTGTTTCCATCAGTTGCTTTACGTAGCATTTTTCAAACTAGGTCTGCGTTTCCGTCTTTTCGCAAGGATGTATTGCCCTACATCAAATTGAGTAATTTAGTATATGAATTTAATTGCCAGTGTGCTGCTGGTTATGTGGGGCGTACAACCTTGCATTTGGAAACTAGAATTAATCAGCACGTTCCTTCAAAAATACGACTTGGTAAGATAGATAGAATATGCTATCTTCCCCATGAACATGAATCGGCTATTGCTCAACATTTAGTTGAGAATATAGCTTGTGCCAAGTTGTATAAAAAAAGAGGGTTTAGAATTATTCATACAGCCGATTCCAATAATCATTTGAAGATTTTGGAATCGGTCTGTATAGGATTAAAAAACCTTCTCTCTGCCGGCAGAAAGAATTTATAAGGTCTCTGAATCTGTTGGGGATATTTTATTTTAACTGTCCCTCGCTATTTATTTACACGATAACCCTTCCCTCGTTACAAGTATATATACTTGTTTGTTATTTTAGTGTGTTTCCCCCTCTTTTTTGCTCTTCAATATCGCTATTATTCATTTCGCTAATCCAACGATTGTCTCCTGATGAGATGTTGGCTGAAAGGGCTCTAGAGACTTTTAATATTAAAATCAATGGTTTCCTAGTTTTTAAAACTATTTATAAATTTTGTACCTCCAAACATTTGTTTATATATATATATATATATATATATATATATATATATATATATACACACACACACACACACATATGGAGAGATAGATAGATAGATATGAACAGAATGCGACATATATGTATAGAATGATAGATATGAAAAGTGAGATAGATAAAACAGAATATATAGATTGATAGATGTGAACATAATGATATCTATATATATATATATATATATATTTTAAGACATTTTTTTATGTTTATACGTTCTTTTTATAGATACAAATATTTAAGTAAATGCTTTGTTTATAACATACAGTATTAACGACATTTACCGGCCTGAATGTCCGAGAAATTTTCATAGAAAATATGCGTCCTTCAACAGGAATCGAACCTGTATCCTATACGGAAACGTCATATAGCCTGACGTGCTTTTACCGATTTAGCCACAGAGGAGCGTTTCGGTTAGCAAGGTCGATTTTACTGTTTTTTAAACTACAATTCTCCATGATTTCCTCTCGTACATTCATATCTGCTCGTTGTGTATTTAAATATAAAAAAATGCCGTCACACATTATGAAATTGACGAAGTCAAACAATTATTTTAAGACATAAACATAAAAAAATGTCGTAACATAATTGTCTGATTTTGACCATATATATATATATATATATATATATATATATATATATATATATATATAGCTATTAGATAGATAGATATTGGTATATAGATATGAACAGATTTAGATAGATCTGTCTATGCCATTCTGTTCCTATTTATCTATCTATGTATTTCTCTCTTTCTTTTGCTCTCTCTCTCTCTTTATATATATATATATATATATATATATATATATATCGGATGTGGAATTATTAAACACTAACCACTTCAGATACCTCGGCGTATGGATCAGTTATAATAAATTTAGTATAGCGGAAAAGGAAATTGAACGTAAAATATGATATTCAAGGAATAATTTCGCCCAACCCAGCAAATTACTACTAAACCAAAACTTCAACCTGAAAACCTCAGTCATGTTCTGAAATAGCTTCGATGGAGACTTTCATCTGAATATCATGCGTGGTGTCAGAGCCCTTCAGAAGTATCTAAACTATCAGCTGTATACACCCGCTTTCTCAGACCAATGGCGAAAAAAGGCTTCAAATGACGTCACACATTATGAAATGGACGAAGTCCGACAATTATTTTAAGACGTAAACATAAAAATAAAAACGTTGTGAATATGGCAATGAGGAGGAGGATAACAGTCCGACTAATGTATATAATTATAATACCTCATCTCAGATATATATATATATATATATACAGTGTAACCCGGATATAAGAGAGTTGTCGGGACCGGAGAAGAAGTCTCTTATATCCGGTTTTCTCTTATATCCGGGTTTGGTCTATTTTGTTTAGGTAAGTATGGGAACACTTTGGGACCAGAGAAAATATCTCTTATATCCGGGTTTCTCTTATATCCGGGTCTCTTATATCAGGGTTACACTGTACTAAAGAAAGTTTGTTGAAAATCTATCAAACGGTTAAGATTAGAAATTCTAGGCTGTTGTTAATAAGCCTGGACAAGATATAAAGAAAACATATCGCTAGATCGAGAGACAGATAAACCCGTGAGGTGAAAGTGATTATCGCTTATTCTTTCATATTGAAAACTTCTGTATGCTTTAGTTATTAATCCCCAAAAGCTTGCGAAAGATGATTTTTTTTTTTTTGTGCCGGAGATAGTATTTATCAATCCACCCACGGGGATCGAATGTGGCACAAGGCCTTTTTAATGTGGGTATCTCTGAGCCCGTAGGCCCAGCCAAAAATAAATAACCATCCAAACCCGCCGAGGCGGGCCAGTTCCGTCAACCCCCCCCCCCAACGAAACCCTACCTTTCGGCGGAGCTTCGTCCGGGTTCCTCACTGCAAGCAGAGAGTTCGACAGACACCCGACCCGGCAGCCCACAAAGCGCAGATACTACACTTTGATCCTAGCCACCGGGCCGAGCGGGTCGGAGATGGTATTTATCAATTCACCCACAGGAATTGAATGTGGCACAAGGCCTTTTTAATGTGGGTATGTCTGAGCTCGTAGGCCCAGCCAAAAATAAAACCCATCTAAACCCGTCCAAGCGGACTAGTTCCGTCAGCCTCCCCGAACGAAACCCCACCCTTCGGCGGAGCTTCGTCCGGGTACCTCTCTGCAAGCAGAGAGTTCGACAGACACTCGACCCGGCAGCTCACAAAGCGCAGATACTAAACTTTGATCCTAGCCACCGGGCCGAGCGGGTCGGAGATAATGTAAGCTATTTAAAGTTGGGTAAATAAAGGATCCGAGTTCAATCTATATGTGTGAATACTGTATGTGTAAAACCTCGCAATCAATACGGTGTTTTTTTTTGTTTTTTTTTAATTTTTTAAATTCTATTTTTCTTATTTTTTTTTTATTGTTTTAAAATTGGTTTTCTAGTCACGATTTGTTCTTTGCTCTTCCTGGACTTCACACACAGGTAATTATCTTTTATTTCTTTTGCCTTTTTTTTTCTTTTTTTTTTTTGTTGAGTTGTTGATTGCATCTCTCTCTCTCTCTCTCTCTCTCTCTATCTATCTATCTATCTATCTATCTATCTATCTATCTCTCCTTCTCTCGCTGTTTTTCTCTATATATCTATTTTTCTCTCTCTTTCTTTCTTTCTTTCTTTCTATCTTTTTCTCTCTCGCTATCATTTTGTCTTTCATTCTTTAAACTTAAATAAAAAATGTCTCAATACATCTGCTTTTTCTACTCTCTCTCTCTGTTTATCACTCTCTCTCTAGTTCTTTTGTCTGTTTATATATATATATATATATATATATATATATATATATATAAATCCGAAAAACAGACCAATTTTATGAACGTTCCATTTTCTAAGCATAGCTTAGATGTGGCACAAGACCTAAACTATGTGGCACCTAGTGAGGGTCTTTATAATATAGACAAGCTTACTAACCATTGCACCACGCCGAGGTGCTATATATATATATATATATATATATATATATATATATATATATATGTCTTTTCCACTTTATATATGTCTTTCTCGCTCTCTATCTATATCTCTTTCCCCTTTCTTTTTCCTTCTCTCAATGTTTCTCCCCCCTCTCTCTCTGTTTCTCTGTCTCTTTTTCCGCTCTCTCTGTCTATATCTTTCTTTCTCTTTCTCTCTCTCTCTTTCTTTATATTTTTCTTTTTCTCTCTTATTAAAATAATTAAATATATCCCTTTCTCTCTCTTTCTCTCTCTCTCTCATATATCTCTTTCTCTCTCTCTCTCTCTCTCTATCTATCTATATATATATATATATATATGTTTCTCCCTATGTTTCTATCTATATATCTCTTACTCTCTCCCTCTCTCTCCATATATATATATATATATATATATATATATATATATATATATATATATATATATATTTTCTCTTTACGTTTCTATCTATTTATCTCTCTCCCTCTCTCTCTCTCTCCGATTCTCACTCTCTTTGTCTCCCCCCTCTCTATATATTACTTTCTCGCTCTCTCTCTCTCTCTTTATATATATATCTTCATCTCTCTTTGTTTCTCTCGCTATCTCTTTCTCTCTCGGTATATCTCTGTTTGTCTCTCTCACTCTCTCACTCTCTCTCTCTCTCTATATATATAAATATATATATATATAGAGATATGGATAGAGAGAGAAACAGATATATATATATATATATATATATATATAATTCATTTTCTTTATCCCTGTTTCTTTCTATATCTCTCTTTATCGATCTCTCTATCCCCCTCCTCTTTCTCTCTCGCTTCCTCTCTCTATGAACCACTTTTGTTCTCTCTTTCCAGCTAGTTTCTCACTCTCTCTATTTCCCTCTCTATTTGTCTCCCTCTCTATCTATATTTCTCACTCGCTCTATATCTCTCTCTTTCTTTCTCTCTGTTTTTCTATCTATTTCTCTCTCTCTCTCTCTCTCTCTCTCTCTCTCTCTCTATATATATATATATATATATATATATATATATATATATATATATTTTTTCTATCTCTGTTTCTCTATATATCTTTGTCGGTCTCTCTACCTCCTTCTCTCTCTCTCTCTCTTCTGCCTTTTCTCTCTATGAGAGAGGTTTGTCTATTTTACCAAAAACATGTGATAAAATGAATTCTATTGATTTAAGTTGTGTCATCTCCAGATTTTCCCTGAGAATTTCTCCGCCCAGCAAGCTTCATCTTCGTTTTATTTTTTCAATATTTCTTTTTTTGCCACATTTTACTCATTAATCACCACGAGATCGCCATCTTTTCTTTTTCTTTTCTTTTTTTTTTTTCACAGGAAGCTGCGAAACTTCGAAAATCATATGAGAATTAAAAGCACGTCAAAATGGCGCCATTCTCTGAACTGCCGCTACACATTCGTCTTGATACAGTCACGTAATATTTGGAGCAGATGAAATTTTTTTCTTTTTTTCAACAAGTTCATGTAATTCGGCAACTTTTCTATTGCCTGGTAAATTTAAACCGACACAAAATTGGATTGTAAATTTGCTTGCCCACGAAATGATTTAAAAAAATGGTTCCCCATCGACCAAATATGTGCTCTGTAAGTTGATTTTTATTGATTTGCTGGTTTAACGGCATATCAACTCCTTATCGGAGATTTAATACCGAATTTTTCTCGCGCAAAAATATAAAAATGTATTGTTGGTATTTTTACTATAAAAATGTAGCTTTATACTTCCATATCTATTTCTAAGTTTTCGACTCTCGTGATCTATATCTATGTTTTTGTACACTATTTACATTATTCGGACTATTTTCCTCACCTTTGTCGCCATATTTATTACAACGTTTCGGCCTTTCAGTATCTGTCTATATTTCTGAGCTGAGGTATTATGTACACTACTTACATTATTCGGACTATTGTCCTTTCATCTTTGTCGCCTATATTTATTACAACGTTTCAGCCTTTCACTATTGTATCTGTCTATATTTATTAGATGAGGTATTATCTATATTTCTGAGATGAGGGTATACACTATTTACATTATTCAGACTATTATCCTCATCTTTGTTGCCATATTTATTACAACGTTTCGGCCATTCAGTATCTATCTATATTTCTGAGATGAGGTATTATGTACACTATTTACATTATTCGGACTATTGTCTTCATTTTTGTCGCCATATTTATTACAACATTTCGACCTTTCACTATATGTTTATATTTCTGAGATGAGGTATTATGCACACTATTTACATTATTCGGACTATTGACCTCATTTTTGTCGCCATATTTATTACAACGTTTCGGCCGTTCTACGCTCCGGCCTTCTTCACGTGGTTGGACTGTCGAACTAAACCCGTTACTTCGCTCAATGGGGTAGAATTCTAGTTCCACGTGCCATGTCTAATGAATGTCAGGTATTAGTTATCTCCTGCTTAATTCCCTCTCCAATATCTCCACCGCCTTAACCAGGTATTGAACTCACACTTTTTGGGGTCTTCAAGGAAACATGTCACAGTGTATAATACCTCATCTCAGAAATATAGACATCTACGTTTTTTAATCAAATATAAACCTGGCACATGTCTAACTTTTAGGCCCTAATGCGAAACCTCATGTATATCTACATTTTTTAAACTTATATCAAAATTGGAAGTATGGTGGCCTTTAGCCACATGATACCCAACCTGGGTCGTATGCTCCAACGGTGGAGTGGTTTTAGATAGGGCAGTTCGAGAATGAGTTATTAACTGAATTTTTCTCTAGTGAATTTGTGTTAGTATGAGTGCGAGTTTGAGTTAATGCATACATATATTATGCGTGTGTGTATATACATGTTTAATTACGTATGTATTATATATATATATATATATATATATATATATATATATTGTCATCCACAGACAGACTGTTTCGCTGTATCACAACTCATCAGTGTGGCTAGACGTCCGGTTGTCTCTAGCTAGGATCGAAACCCGAGTCGGAAATTCTACCCCTAAGCCGTTGGCCCACGGCATGGTTGAAGATGAATTTAAGCGTATTTATTTTTAGATAAACACACAGTGACTGAGAGAACTCGATTCGATTTAACGAAGAGTCTTGCATTATTAGCAGTAATAGTCACTGTTTACAAACCCACAGTTTCTCTCAACCGAAATAAATTTTTCAGGAGCACACACACACACACACACACACACACACACACACACACACACACATATATATATATATATATATATATATATATATATATATATATAATACATACACACACACACACTCATATATATATATATATATATATATATATATATATATATATATATATATATATTAGTAACACTATTTTATGATTTGATTTGATTTGTTTAATGACATATCAACACAGCTATGGGTTATTTAATGCTATGCTAAATTCTAATTTTCTTTGGAGCTTTGCAGTAATAAATATATGATATATGTTATTCTGCTTTCACATTTGGTTATATGGTAGATGATACTCAGCTTTTGTGCATATAGATGTTTGTGTGGATATGATTGCGAGAGGCGGTAATAGGTCTGTTTCATGTTGTAGTTTTGTTGAAGGTATATTTTGCAACAGAGCTTGATTTAAGAAATTGTAGAATGTTATACGGATGATGTCATAAAAGTGTTCTTTCATTTCCATAGATGTATTGTTGCTAATTTTGCCATAAATTGGTTTGTTGGTATTTTTAATATAAAAATGTATTGCTTTCATATCTATTTCTAAGTTTTTCTCTCTCCTGCAAACTCAAATGTATACCGGGCACTTGATAACTTTCTTGGCCTAGTCCGAACCGAAATAATATCTACATTTTTGTTTAACTTCTTATCAAAATCGGAATTATGGGTACATGTTTGACTCTAGACACGTGCTTACCAATATGTAGGGTACTCTACACATGAGGGATTTGATTTTATGTGGGGTAATAACAACAGGGAATTTTTATCTAGTGAATCAGTGTGAGTATCAGTGTGTGTTTGAGTTAATACATTGTGCATGCATACATAAAAATATATTTGTGTATGTACATGTGTAATTACTTATGAACTTCATATATATATATATATATATATATATATATATATATATTCAAGAATTATTCATACAAATAACAAATACAAAGGTTAATGATTTAATTGGCGAGAAATCCATCGTCGCGAACAATTCAAATAATATACAAAACCCCCGAACCTATTATGAATGAAAAGATCCTTGTTTTTATAAATTTCTCTTGCATTAGTTCTTATTTTTACTACAAGCTTTCGTCTGTTCCTACAGACATCTTCAGGTATGGAATAGATTTTGTTCTTGTTTTTTCTCTTAGTAATAAGAGGACAACGAAAATATATGTATTGTTGTAATCCGAAAATGCTATTAGAAATGAGTTATTGTTTTTGGAGCGTTCTGTCGCAACGCTGAGTTTGAATTTAAATTTTACAATTGTGCGTTCTTATACAAATATGGTGATAAGTGAATTCTTTTTTACTGGTAAATATATATATATCCAAGTATATGATTGGTGTATACGGAATAAATTCCAATAACCAACAATTAATATTCTTCAAAGAGTGCTCAAAGTAGAGCGAATATAATTATTTATTTAAAAATTATAACATATTTATGTTATAAAATCACTACAAAAATAGCCATTTTGTTTCAACACCCTCGGTGTCTTATCAAGTGATGATGTTGAATGTAAAATAATTGGTTTTAAAAGTTTCAAATTAATTAACGATCGTTAAATTAATTAGTTAAGGACGGTTAATTAATTTGAAACTTGAATATATATATATTAACTGATTTAAAAATATGGAATAACTTATTTTAAAATTTACTGACTAAAAACTCAGTAAATTTTAAAATAATTTATTCCAAAATTTGATTGAAGATGAAACAGAACTAATGCTTTTAATTTAATATAATTAAATTTGAAGTTTTTGGTTTCTGTTTTTGAAACATGGCAATTCCTGTGTAGCGATGAAACCTTATTTTTAAATCAGGTGATTTATAATATTTATGCTTAGCAACATTATGCCCATATCTATCTATCTATCTATCTATCTATCTATCTATCTATCTATCTATCTCACTTTGTTTATCGAAAGAATTCAAAATAAAAAAATATATATAACGGACACAAACGTAAAGTTTTCCATTTCTCTCTCAATTCGAAACCTTCTTTGAACACGTCAGCAATGCAATTTCTTTTTATTACGTTTTTTGGTCTTGTTTTTAATCAAAGGAAACTTTTGTAAAGTTTTACAAAGCCTAACTTTGATTTTTATTTCTAATTATCAATTGCCTTTTTTAGTATTCCTTTTTTTTTCGGTTACAATTCAATTAAATTATAAACAATGCAATTAGGAATCGCCTTAGAATCAAAGACAAACGAATGGCAAAGTTATCCGACATCTGTCGTTTGCAATGAATTGCTTTGAGGAAAAGAGAAAGCTCTCGAAAGAAAAGTCAAACCTTAACTGTGGATGAAAAGAAACGACAATTCTTTCGAAAAAAGAAAATAAATTCTTTAAAAAATTGTTTTCAAAAAGAACAAATTTGAACAGAAAAAACAAACAAAACAAAAAAAAAAAAACCCGAAAATTACATACTTATGTTAGAGTCAAGTATTTTATCTCGTTTCATTTTATATTTAGTTTTAATATTTTCCTCATGTCTCACTATTATGAGGGTGAAATATTATTTAAATAATTTACTTTTGAAATGTTGTTCTCATTATTGGGGTTATACCATCAAGATAATCTTCTCATACGATGAAAATCTTATATTTACCTGACTATATTAGACAAGCTTAGACCAGAGTCATGACTGGAAACATTCTGTTCTTCACGTTAAATACCTTCCTTGTGTCATAACCTGACTCAGTTTTGTCAAGTAAATCACCTTACCTGACACACGTGGTATTACAGGTATGACTAAATTAGACGATCTCTGATAGCTTGGACAAGCTTAGACCAGCGGCCCGATTGGAAACACTCGGTTTCCCACTTTAGAAACCTACCTTGTCTTACAACCTGACTCAGTGGAGGGTCAAGTAAATCGTCTTACCTGGCACAGGTGGTATCACGGCTATGACAAGCTTAGACAAGCTCTGACCCACTAGGACAAGCTATGCGCATCTATAACAAGTTTCGACGTGCTCTGACTAGCATGGGCAAAGTATGACCAGCTATAAGCAGCTCCGACGTGCTCTAACCCTCTTGGACAAGATATGACCAGCTATAAGCATCTTCGACGTTCTCTGACCCTCTTGGACAATCTATGACACGCAATAAGCAGCTTCGACGTGCTCTGACCCTCTGGGACAAGCTATGGCCAGCTATAAGCAGCTTCGACGTGCTCTGACCCTCTGGGACAAGGTATGACCAGCTATAAGCAGCTTCCACGTGCTCTGACTCCCTTGGACAAGCTATGACCAGCTATAAGCAGCTTCGACGTGCTCTGACCCACATGGCCAAGCTATGACCAGCTATAAGCGGGAGTCGGGGTCAAGTAAATTGCCTTATTTGACACAGGAGTTTCTTCTGGTGTCCAGGTAAGTTTTATCATCTCTCAGCTGCGGCAATGTCTTCCGGCGGAGTGCGATTCAGTTGCAGCTGCGGACAGAGGACAGAAGACCAGCTGAGAAAAACACACTGTGAGGTCCCCAGCCTTGGTGAACAGATGCTAGAGCCTGCACCCTCTCATTGCACTAGAGAGAACGATCGGTGCTCGTACCGAGTCCAGTGCAAATGACGGTTGTGTGTGCTCGGGAGATCATTGTTGTTGGTCCATGTATACGCGATCGGGTTCCTCAAATTAAACCCAATTTTGTGCCGCATCCCGTCTTATGCGGGGGGGGGGGACCAGGGTAAATGTCTACTTATTTGGCACAGAAGGTTTCCTGGTGCGCAGGTACAATTTAACATCTCTCAGATGCGGCTATATCTTTGGGCAGAGTACGACTCACTTGCGGCTCCGTCATATGACAGCGGCGCAACTGGTAAAACTGTGAGGTGGCTCACCCTGGGGAACAGTAGCCCGAGGATGCACCCTATCATGAAATACATAGAGGCATCGTTGCTCGCCATCGAGGCCAGTGCAACCAACGTTGGCTCGTGGAAATTTTGTCCTTAGCCCGAGTATATGCGCTCGGCTTCCGCACATTAAACTCGACTTTGTTTCAAAACACGTCGGCGAAAGGGTAAATACACTTACCTGGCACATGCCGGGTGGGGTTTATCATCTATCAGTTGCGTTTCCATTTTCCTGCAGAGTGCGAGTCAGATGCAGCTCCATCTGCGGTCAGGGGCGCAACTGAAGAAAATAATACTGTGAGGTGCCTGACGCTGCGGAACTGGTGCACATGGCTGGACCCCCTGATGAGAGAGGTATCCAGTCCCGCGCAACTGATGTTTACTGGGGCTTGGGAAAATTTTGTCCTTGTCCCAGGTGTACTAGCTCGGGCTCCTCTCACAATGAACCCAACCTTGTGTCACATCAAGCTCCAGTGGGGATACGAGGGTAAATATCTACGATGAAAATCCCAGGGTACTTCCATGTGGGGTAATGCTTACCAACCTTGTCTGACTAGAACAATTGCCACTGTGTAGTGATTCAGATCCTTAATAGTTGCCTCACACATTCGGCCTTGCCGTCCTGGGTATGACGGTAAACTACATCCAACGTCCTGGGTAAGACGATAAACTACATCCGCGTCCTGGGTAAGACGATAAACTACATCCGTGTCCTGGGTAAGACGATAAACTACATCCCCGTCTTGTGTAAGACGATAAACTACATCCGTGTCCTGGGTAAGACGATAAACTACATTTACTTTCTAGGTAAGACGATAAACTACATCCGTGTCCTGGGTAAGACGATAAACTACATTTACTTTCTAGGTAAGACGATAAACTACATTTACTTTCTAGGTAAGACGATAAACTACATCCGTGTCCTGGGTAAGACGATAAACTACATTTACTTTCTAGGTAAGATGATAAACTACATCCGTGTCCTGGGTAAGACGATAAACTACATCCGCGTCCTGGGTAAGACGATAAACTACATCCGTGTCCTGGGTAAGACGATAAACTACATCCAATAGTAAGGCTTTTGATCAGAAACCACCTCTTCATTGCTGGTGTTCCTAGGTCCACCCTGACAAGGGGTGGAGGCACCTGTATGGACCCCAGCTATGGGCAAATAGTTAACCTCCACAAAAGGGGTCAAAACACTATGAAAGTATAAAAATAACTTTTAATACCAGCAATACTATTTTTGAAAAAAAAAATATTACCAGCAATTCATTTTTTGGAAAATATCAAAAATACATTTTTGGAAAAAATATTACCAGCAATAAAAGTCTTGTCGACATTAAATAACCCACTGAGATTGATATGACGACAAAACAAACAAACCAAACCAAACCATTCGTCCTTGTGCTGCATCTAAGCTTCTCTTACAAAAGCACAATACAATGGAAATCCCAGGGAACCTCGACGTGGTGTAATGGTTAACAAGCTTGTCTTACAAGCACAATTACGACTGAGTAATGATTTCGATCCTCACAAGGTGCGCTTTGTGTCCCATCTAAGCTAACCTTAGAAAATCAGCATACAATGCAAATCGATTTCCAATCTCTGAGTGTCTTGATCTAATAGAGAAACCATATTGGTTTACATGTCTGGTGAAGAGATCAATGATCAAACATCATCAGGAGAACCTCATCAGAAGTGAGAAACAGGAATAGAATCTATTTAATCAGTTCCTAACCTACGCTCTATAAAAATGGCCGACGTTCATGTCGCGGAAAGTATTTATAAAGAAAACGGGCAGGAAATTGGCAGTGGGAAAGAAACTGAAGACGAACCGCAAGACTAGGTACAGAGAAATTCACAAGACTAGGTACCAGAAAGGAAAGTTTGTAGAGTAGCGATTTGCCAAGCGTAGCTCAGATGTGACACAAGGCCGAAAGTATGGGGCACCTAGTGAGGATCGAACTCACTACTCATTCGTAATAGTTCTAGCGAGACAAAGTTGCTAACCATTTCACCGCCTCAAGGTGCCCCCAAAATGTTTGTAGAGTAAACGGCCATGGTTAAATGGAATTGGCAGAAATACCCAAGAAATAAATTTGTCTATAAATTTGGGGAGGGGTATTTTGTTTGGCAGTCATTCCCACAGAATGGAACCAAAATTAATTTATGTTTCTTATGTGATTTCCATTGATATTACTTCTAGAAACAAAAATTGCAACTATATATATATATATATATATATATATATATATAAATATAGTCTTAAGGTCTGCTATATTTATGGGATAAAGTGCTCGATATCAGAGATAGAGCGTGTGTAAATATAAAAGTGAACATAGAAGTCAACACTTACAGGCGACAGCCTGTTTCATGCTATATGTAGCCTGACGATTGCATATAGCATGAAACAGACTGTCGACTCTAAGTGTTGACTTCTATACCACTTTTATATTTATATATATATATATATATATATATATATATATATATTATTTTTCGAAAATTATAACATATACATGTTATAAAATCACTACAAAAATAGCCATTTTGTTTCAACACTTCTGGTGTCTTATCAAGTGATGGTGTTGAATCTTATATACTTCTGTGTGTGTGTATATGTATATATATATATATATACATAGATAGGTAGGTAAGTAGGTAGGTAGATAGATAATATTAGTGATAAATATATACATACATATGTAAAATATATAAATATATATACATAGGTGCATACACATACATGTATATTTTTTGAATAAAATGTTCCAAGAGGATAGAATCCAGGTAGAACTCAATATCCAGGACAGAGAAAGGATATAATAAAAAGGCTTAAACACTAATATTCCATGGCCATAATTTATTCCAAGAATTGGATCGTATTTACGATTCCAATGGAATAAATTATGACCATGGAATATTTGGTGTTTAAGCATTTTTATTATATATATATATATATATATATATATATATATATATATATAATCACTGGCGACTGTAGCCTGCAAAAGTGGGAGAGGGCAAAAGGTGCGACAGCACCGGGTATCCATATTGGAAGGGCATTCAATCAAAGAGTGAAATAAAAAATTTAGTTTTTGAAATAAAGGCTTAATTTAAGGTTTCAACTGTGTTGGAACTGTTTTG